TTAAAAAAAAAACCCCCCCCCCCCCCCCCCTCTCCCCCACAAGGGGTACATCCCTGGCAGCATGGCAGAATTTTATAATTCATTAATTTGTGGCAATATTACCTTCCAAAAAGAAGATAATCAAAGGGTCTTAAGGGCCATTTGCTTTCATTATGCAGTTCCTCTTTCAGTTTGCGATTGTTCGTCAAAGAAGGACTCGATACGGGAATCTGAAGAAAAGAGGAAATGGGACTTTCCCATACTATTTCAATGACCAAAAACAGTTTCCAACTTGCATTTTTACCACGTCCAGGTTTATTATTTTTTTATTGTTTCTTTTTCCAGTTCATCTAAAGCACATAAAAAGCAACTGAAATCACTGAAATAAATGCTTGAAGTTATTCCATGCTAGCTTTGAGAAAGGATACCTTGTGGTTTCAACCATGTCTTCTTAACTATAAATTCTTCACATAATTCTTTCATAACAATTGTTGGACTGCGTGGAGCCTAATTATACTATCAGATGATCCTAGTATTGTGCATTCCTATTTCTATACTTGGCTGCCTTAGTTTCTTATATCTGAAATAAATTCTGGGGCATGTTTTTCTATAAGATAAGACCGGTATAAGCAAGAAAACCTCGTAATCTTTTTCTTCATTACAGTGAAGAAGCTACCGCAGCAGCAGTTCACATGTCTCTCACATTGCGAACCACAATAATTTTTTATATTCTTTGAACGTTCATCATTTCATTTTTGTTCAGTACTGCTCTCGAAGTTAGGGATTCATGTTTGATACATGTCATTAATTTTATTACAGAGAATATTTTCAGAAAACTGACCTGATAAGATCAGTAATTGATATGATAGGAATGCTATGGTCCAAAGCCATCTTTCTTAGATTGAGCATGCTAGCCATAGATCCATCCTCTTTATCCACTATAGCCGAGAGAACAGAGACGGCCTGCAGACCAGCCAGCATAACCAGATCCACAGAAGCCTCTGTATGACCACATCTTCGAAGAACGCCTCCATTTCTGTACTTGAGGGGAAAAACATGTCCCGGTTTATTGAAATCCTCTGGTCTAGAGTTTGGAGAAGAAAGAGCAAGGACTGTTTTTGCCCTGTCTGATGCCGATACACCAGTAGATGTTCCCACTTTAGCATCCTAACAATTCAAGAGAAAATACTCAAAAAAATTACAATCTCAGTTGATGAAGTATAGCTACAGAAAGAAACGTTGATCTTAAGAATATGAAGCAAATTTGAGTATGATATGAGAAATTTCAATAGCCAGGTTCATACAGAACGTCCCTAGAAAATGATCTTCTGCATTTTTATTCATATTCATGACATGACATCCGCTTTGGCCTAAACAGAACTGATACCAAGAAACCAACATCTGGAGCAGCATTATATCATATTAGCCCAACAGAAACTACAAATATTCCACTCGAGAATTTCTTAGGTATGATTTGTCAAAAGGCCATTAAACTCAGTGGAGGAATTGCTTCACATTTACTTATTTAAATTTTATCTTCAAAATCCCAAATTCGTTGTCATTATAAACAGAAACTTGAACAAATCCGTTTAACCATTTAGATTCAGTCTACAACAATATATAACAAAGAAGCTCGATCTCAGAAAGAAGTATCATACCACTGTGATTGTAAATGAGGGAGCTGATGAATCATCTTCTTTTTCAGGGGACATCAAAGGGAGATTTAATCTCTCAAGATCCTCTTCCTTCATGCCTACAGAAACTATCCCTGAACCATGCTTAATCATAAATGCAACAGCCTTAGAACTCACATAAGAAGCTGCCATAACAAGATTTCCTTCAACATCTTCATTTTCATCTACAACAATCACAAACTTAAAACATTTTTGGCAATAATTATCAGCTCAAGATTAATAAAACTAGCATAGAAAATTACACATTCTTAAGAACAAAAAGCATGTTTGGCTAAGGTAGAAAGTAAAATTTTCTATTGATCAAATTGGGAACAGGGAAATTATTATTTTATTATTATTATTATTATTATTTTTTTTTTTCAGTTATAAGTAGGACGAAAAATTACTTATCTGAGCATGTTTACTTATTTCTAGCTTAGCTGAACGTACATGCTCAAGAGTTGTACAGTAACGTGTCCAACCTTGCCTTGGCGCAATGCGGCAAGAGCTTGTTCGATTGAAGAATATCCAGCAGATGGACAGTCAGGATCACCCTCTGCATCACTAACAAAAAAATCAGCTATTTCCGGAGTAATTTCTGCATCTAAAGTTCCAAAACTTGCCGAGGAAGAATCAATAAACGCCTCAAATGATGATCCATTTAACTTTTCTTCAATCTTGAATAAGCCTTCATCAGAAAAATCTCCAGATGATCCCAGAGCCCAGCAACTGTACTTCAACGGTTTATTTCTACGTATTCCAGCAAAATTCGGACTACAATATAAAGCCCTTGAATTGAAGAAAATCTGAGGAAAAAATGCGATGCAATCCATGGATTGAGAAGATAGAATTGAATATGGGAATTTTTTTTTCTTGCTTTCTTATTGAGCCGGTAATATCTGCATGTTACGTGGCGATTGTACCAGAAAACACCACCTATGGTTTATTTCCAGTGTTATCCAATGAAAACACTATCTAAATGTACGGATGTTTGGAGCCACAAGTAGGCCTGGGCACTAGTACTACTAACCCGAAAACCCGGCCCTCCAAAGTCCGAAGTACTAAAAGTCATCTTATTCATCGTCCAGCCCAATCATAGTGGCGTTTTATTACACAAATCTTAAAGAGGAAATTAGGCCCAATACTTCTTCAAAATGGAACCAGTTAGATTAAAATGTGGAAAAATTTTAGGGTAATTGGCACAAAACGTCCCTATCTTTCGAGTGTATTGTAGAAAACGATCCTACCTTTCATTCTTTGGCATTTTTGCCTCTATTTCTACATTTCTTTGCATCGAAGGTCTTTTTCACTGTTTTTTGGTGTAAAATGACTAATATGTCCTCCTCTTTAAATAAACGAAAAAAGAAAAGAAAAGAAAAAAATTGCAACTATAGGCGAAACTTCTAAAAAAGTGCAAATGCTCTGCCCCCAAAACTTCACATTCTTCCCACACCTCACTCCCACGCCACCATCACTTGCCGGTCATTTTCAGCCACCTTTCGATCAGCTTGACAGCCGGACTAACATACCAACGTGAAGTCCTCACTTTCCTCTTCACAACCCATCCAACCACTAGCTGAAAATCTAAAGGAATTGGCCGAAAAATTGCGACAAAATAGACTGCTCACGCAACATGAAACGGTCAAAAATGGAGGCCAAAAACTCCATTTTCAACGACATCCATGGCACACCCATCCTCCAGGTCGATATGCTCCTCATTGCGCTCCTATAGATGTCTTCATACCATCAAACAAAGCTGAAAATCAAAATCTACAGCCAGAAAATCGGAGTTTGCTTTCGGTCGGTAGTTCTTGAATTCAATCTTGAAAATTGATCGTTTTGTTGATGAATTGATGCAATTGATGGAGGCCCCATAGTTGTGATAACATTAGTTGACCGATTACATGCTAGAATTTGCCGATTTTACTGGTGAAGAAATTGCCCGGTTCTACAGTTTCTGGTTAAAATTGACGTTGCCCCATAGGTTCATAAGGTTCTCCTTGAAGAGGCGGTGCTAGGAGGGGTGGTCCGCCGTCGTCGATCATGATGTCAACGTCGAAAAATGGAGTTGAATTTGTCGATTTTGTTGTTGAAGTTGCGTGGGCAGCCTATTTTGGCGCAATTTTTCGACCAATTTCTTTAGATTTTCGGCCAGTGGTTGGGTGGGTTATGAAGAGGATAGTGAGGGCTTCAAGTTGGTATGTTGGTCCAATGACCAAGCTGATCGAAAGGTGGCTGAAAATGGCCGACAAGTGACGGTGGCATGGGGTGAGGTGTGGGAAGAAGGTGAAGTTTTTTTTTGGAGGGGGGGGAGGCATTTGCACTTTTTTAGAAGTTTCGCTTATAGTTGCAATTTTTTCTGTTCTTTTCTTTCTTCTTTAATTTAAAGAGGAGGGCATAATGGTCATTTAAACCCAAGAAACGGTGAAAAAGACCTTCGACGCAAAGAAATGAGGAAATAGGGGCAAAAATGTCAAAAAATGAAAGGTATGAACATTTTCCACAAGACACTCGAAAAGTAAGGACGTTTTGTGTCAATTACCTATTATTTAATAGGGAAGAAAGTGTATTATTATAATATTTTATATATAAAATAAGAAAGGTATGTCTGTTACGGTAGAAAATGATTTTTTGCAATATTTTATTAATATATGTATAGATAAATAAAAATAATATTCTAAAAAAAACGCGGTATGGTTACAGTTACACGTTATTAGGCCCCTGTTTCATTTTCATTATATTACATTACATTACATTCTATTTTTCTCTCTCCTATTTTCAACCACACAATCTTCCATAAAATAATATTACACGTAAATCGAAAATTTTTCTTTCTTTTTCAACCACTCATTTTTCAAAAAACACTATTCTATACATTAAATTTTCCCCGTGATGGGGGCCAAACAGGGGCTAGATTGAATTCCATTATTAAATTAATCAATAAAAAATGTCTAATTCCCATTTAAGTGACCAAGGTGTGATTGATTGATTGATGGAGGCCATAAAATTGATTCAATTAATCTTTGAATTCTTACCGTTTTAACTGGAGACCTTTTGGCGTTTGGATTGGCGATGTTACATTATTAGTCTGCTTGGGAGTAATTTTGAGAATTGATTTTTTGACCGTTAGAAGAAAAGTGGGTCCATCTATGAGAGAAGAAGTCAAATATGACGGCTGAAATAGTGAAATAACGGTCAAAAAATCAATTTTTTGGGAGAAAAAATTACTCCCAAACAGACCCTATGTATATATAAATCGGATGTTATTTCCACTTAAAATAAAATTTTACACCATTTCATTCATGTACACTATTGAGAAAATTACGCAAATCATTTGTATCTTCAAATTTCGTTGAGTATCCGTTTAGGTAAGAATTTTTGTACAAGTGGTAAATTCTTATTTTTTTTTAGTATTTTTATAGATTTTGACATGAAATACTATAAGGCCTTTGAGTCGTTTTTATGTTAAATCTTACGAAATGGACCGTTAAGTCGAATATGTTAATTTCTTCAGGATGAACCGTTTGATCAAATATGTAAATCATACGGGATATAGAAATTTTTATGAAATTTCTTGAACTATTGGATGTCGCGATCAATTTGCTCTAAATCTAAGAAATGTTGGTATCTCATGTCATTTTATATTTATATCATGTTAATAAGAATATGCACGTATTTTTATTGAGTATTTTCAAAATACTCACTCTTATAATAATTTTTCAAATTAGAACGGATCGTGTATAAGTGTGGCAGATTGACCGAATGGTGCTTATGGTGTCAGCAAATAAAGATTTTAAAAATGATTATTGTCAAAATTTTATTGTTAGGTCATCATATGTTTAATTATGTAAACATTACTTTTAGTTCTTTTTGTGTTCGAACTTTGGAAATTTTATGTGAAACTTGAGTTTCTATTTTTCACAATTTGTAGTAGTTTAATATTTTGATTTATATGAAAAATTTTATTCAAATCATTAGATTATCTTTATCAGTTTATCGATCAACTCATGTAAGAAAAAAATAAGAATGAAAATTTTCGCTTAAGTTGTTAGTACTATCGAATTATCGATCGAATTTAAAAAAAAAAAAAAAGAGAGAGAGAAAGAGAATTTTCGCTTAAATTAGATAAAGAATATTTTTTTGTAATACTTCAAGTCTATTTTTATAAAATAAAAATAAAATAGATTTTGGGACATTACAACCATGACCACTACCAGCACCTCATGAGAGAACACTCTGATTCATATTGCTGAATAAGTTAAAAATAGTGAACCCCCACCCCCATAGTGTCGTTGGCCAAAGCGCCTATGTTAAAGAGACGCTCTCACCTGTGACGGGAATGAATCAACAAAAAGTAGCGAAGTTGAACCAATGGTGATCTCACTTGCAACAGCGCAGTGCTCTACTTGGTCTCAAACAAGAAGCAACACGACCACATTCCCATGTTGACGAGAGTGCACGCAGCAATGCTCACTTGCATCGCGTAACACAAGGCGACTGTGAGGTGGAGTGGATGGAGGTAGAGTTGGTATATAAGTTAATTTAATTTCTATTATTATTATTATTATTATTATTATTATTATTATTATTATTATTATTATTATTATTATTATTGAGATATAATTTGATTTTTGTATAAACAAATTTTAAATCTAATTTTTGAAATGGTAACTTAAAAAATATGATTCTGTGTAATTTCCACTTAAAATGAATTGAAACCTCTAATCATCGTAATTTATATGTCCAAAAATCGACCCAAATTCCCAAAAAGCCCCAAAACTGACTATTTAAAAGAAAAACCCCCCAAACTACCAAATCCCCCTAAATGAGGTGCTCGAAGAGTGGAATTTGTCAGATGATTTGGAAAAATGGGGACCAGGGTTGTCTTTGGCTATGTTAGGGAAGAAGCTTGCGACGATACAGTAGCATAGCTGGAAGTAATAGATATTTTCAGTGTGAGTGATGGAGGAGTATGGTATGGTTGGATATTTGAGAGGATGTAGATGGGACAATATATGAAGTTTGTGGGATTTACAAACAATGGAGACATACTAGTGGAAATAACCTGAAAGGGTATGGCACAACGATGCTATTAGTGTGAGTTGATCAGCTGACCTTTTAATTGCTATTTGAACGTGTTAGCTGATCCCTTAAACAAAAACAAATGCACTTATATTTGTTAAAACCGTGTTTCTCCTTTTGGACCTTCATGATGATGCCATGTGTCAGTTCCTTGACCGTTGGATGCTTGACCATCTGGTGACTCATATAAAGGAGAGTCCTAGGGTTTGAGACGCGTGATTTTTTCATTCTTCTAGATTCTTCATTTTTACTCTGGCCGTTCGAGTTTCATCTCCTTCTTCTTCTCTGAAAATCAACGATCTCCTTGATTTTCAACACTTGCTCAAAACTGATTTTGTAATCTTGAGTGATTATCACTGAGAAGTGTATTGTGTTCTTGGGTGAACCGATTTGTGAAGTGAGAAGATTGTATCTTCTATGATCTTGGGTGATCTTTGGTCTGAGTGCGAAAATACTCTAATATCTAAGCCTTGGTGTGTGATTAACACTCACAGTGGTCTGATGGTGGAAGAAGCATCTTATTCATTGGCCGAATCTTTCATGTTGTTACTGCCTTAGGGTATCTTAAATGAGATCTCCGATTTTGTGCTTTAATACTTTTATCTTGTTAATGCCTTGGTGTATTTTTCTTTGTTGATTAAATCTAATATTGTGGAACCTCCTCTTTACAGTGGTATCAGAGCTTCGGACGGAGGTTCTTGACTCTAACTCGTGTAGATCTGAAACTGTGACACTTGCTTTTCTTAACCTTCGTTATTTCTTGAAACCCTATTGAAGGGCTCTGGTGAGATTGTTCTAGTTTTACGATTAATACTGCAAATTAATTGTATAAATTTTTTGAGCTA